TCACATACTGACGTAATAGAATTATTTTCACAATCTCCTTAAATCTCTTTATTGGTCATTCTGAAATTCCAGCCATACTTGAAAGGATTTTTCAAAGGTAGCTTGGTAGTTCTTCGAAAAGTGCTAATTATTTTTGACATTAGATCAAAGAGTAACGCATACAAGTTAATGGAGCCCTTCAGAAAAATAATACAATAATTTATTATTCTCCCTGAAAGCTTTGAACAGTTTGTGTTCAAAGATGTAGACTTGAAAGATAAGAAAATTTGAACTTTTCAATGAATGTTTGAAAATATCTTGTTTACTGCTATTTTGACAATATTGGTCAAAGTTGAATAAACATTTGACTTCTTTTTTTAGGATAAGGAATCATGCTAGATAAATAAGAATTTAAAGGCCTTGACCTCAAGAGCAGAGAGAAACATTAACTATATAAAACATAAGGCAGAGTGAAACTTCTGAAGGAGAAACAGTGTTACACTGAGGTCATCAAAGGTATCCTCACAGCAGTGGATCTTGACTGGGATTTTGATAGAGAAGTCCTGGAAGGACATTCCTGGAAGAGGAAGCAGCTTTTGCAAAGATATGGGGCACAGAAGGATGGGAAATATCAAGTAGTTTGCGGCTAGAATGTTGTAATGCTTAGAAAGAAATTATGTGAAATGAAGCTACGAAAATAGTTTGTGAAGTAAAATCATTGAGGAATCCTTTATATTTTAGAAGAATGATGAGTTGATTAAGTCACATACTTAGAGCAAACCTGAAACTAAATTTTTAAAAGACCATAAGGTGGGGTGATACTTGTTATTTAAAGAATGTCTGAAAAGCCCATGTCTTTTCTGGGATTGAGTTTGAGTATTTGTGAGTATGAAGTAACTTCTGGGGAATGAGTGACCTAAGAGTTCATACAACTTAGGTTAATATTTGTTTAAGGAAAAGCTTCTATGAGGAAAATGTTTGAGAAAACTGCTCACTGATTTTTGAAATTTACCACTCATCCAGTTCATTTTTCATGAGAAAAAGGGGATCTTGTTAGGTGGCCAGTGGCAGAACTAGAAGTAGAAACCAGAAATAGTAATAGTACTAGATTAAAAGTCAACATTTGTTCCGGTGAATTTAAAATGATTTTATGATGTTCATAAAATGGTTGGAAATGTAAATAAAATGTGTTTAAGAGGGAAGCTTAATGATTTTTTGAGACACAGAAAAGGTACTCACTCCATTTTATTTCCTTGGATTAATAGAATTAAACCATTTCTTATTGTGCTTTCTCATGAATTTGCATTTTATTTATAGATACAAGCTCTATTTTCCCCTTAAAAACTGTATCGGACCTTTTTTTTTTTTTTGAAGATTTTATTTATTTGAGAGAGAGGGGAAGAGCATGAGCGGGGAGGGTGGGGGTGAGGGAGAAGCAGACTCAGGCCTGATGTGGGGCCAATCCCAGGACCCTGAGATCACAACCTGAGTGGAAGGCAGATGATTAATCGACTGAGCCACCCAGGCACCCCTATGTCGGGCCATTTTTATTTGGCATTTTATTGGAGGTTCTAGCCCAGGAAAATTGGGCAAAAAAAAAAAGAAAAGAAAAGAACGTAGTAACTCAGTGGATTTGAATTGATATTTTTCCAAAGATCTACAAATGGCCAATAAGCAGATGAAAAGATGCTGAACATCATTGGTTATTAGAGAAATATAAAACTACAGTGGGATGCTACTGCACATCTACTAGCATGGCTGTAATAAAAAAGACAATAGCAAGAATTGGCAAAGATATGGAGAAATTGGAACTCTCCCTTACATGTTGCTGGTGGTAATGTAAAATGGTACAGTTACTTTGGAAACCAGTTTGGCAGTTCCTCAAAAAGTGAAACAGAGTTAACCACAAGACCCAGTAATTCTACTCTTAGCTGTATACCAAGAGAATTAAACAATATATGTTTACATAAACACTTGGATGTAAATGTTCATTAGCATCATTAATAGCATTATTCTTAATAGTCAAAAAGTGTAAAAACCCAAAATGTAGCATGTCCATAGTGTGGAATGTTTTCGAGTCTTTAAAAGGAATGAAGTACTGGTACGTGCTATAGCATGGTTGAACTTTGAAGGCATTATACTAAGTGAAAGAGAAACAGACACAAAAGTCCACATATTCTGTGATTCTTGATTAAATGTCCAGAATAGGGAAATCAAGAAGCAGAAAGTAGATTTTTAGTTGCCTGGAGCTGGAGGGAGGGGAGAATGGATAGGCATGGAGTTTTTTGGGGGGTGATGGAAATGTTTTAATATAAATGGTAGGGATGGCTGCACAACTGTAGATATATTAAAACTGTAGAATTGTATACTTTAAAAAAAGTGAATTTTATGGTGTGCAAAGTATATAAATTTTTTCAAATTTTTATTTATTTACTTATTTAAGATTTTATTTATTTGACAGAGACAGCGAGAGAGGGAACACAAGCAGGGGGAGTGGGAGAGAGAGAAGCATGCTTCCCGCCAAGCAGGGAGCCCGATGTGGAGCTCCATCCCAGCACCCTGGGACCATGACCCGAGCCGAAGGCAGATGCTTAATGACTGAGCCACCCAGGCATCCCTATAAATTTTTTTCTTTTATTTATTTTAGAGAGAGGGAGCGCATGGGTGGGAGGGGCAGAGGGAGTGGGAGAGAGAATCTCAAGCAGACTGCACTGAGCAGGGAGCCTGATGCAGGGCTCCATCTCAGGACCCTGAGATCATGACCCGAGCCAAAACCATGGAAGCTTAACTGACTGTGCCACTCAGGTGCCCCAGAGTACATACAGTTTTTTAAAAGTACAGTTATTCAGCATCCAGCCCAGAGACAGAAACCATATAATAATTTGAACAGTGAAAATTTAATGTACAGAATTATTAATTATAACATGATTAAAGGAAAAGAATTGTAAAAAGTAAAGTAGTAAAGAGTAAAGAGAACTTTAATGAATACAGGAAGAGCACATTTCATAAGTACCTACCAACCCCAGGGCTGAGTTAGAGTGCCCCAAGAAGAGGCTGCCCTCTTCCTGTGCCTGACAGCCCAGGCCTTGTTGGAGAGTGCAATTGTTGTTCAGTGGATAGTGAAGTTGGTTTCTCAAAACCAAACTTACTGGAAATTCTCCCTGTGGAGTGCTGGTGGAGGCCAGCTACAGGAAGGTGCTGCACCTTGGAACTTGCTGCACCTGAGGGGTGTGTTAGGGAAAGCTACTTATGGGGAGATGCCTTGCAGGTGGCACCACGCTGGGAAGCTGCTGAACAAGAGTGCAGGGGTCAGTGTTGGTTTTGTGCACTGAAGGAGTTGGGTGCTTAAGCTGCTCCCTGCCAGGAGCAAGATGCTAGAGAAGCAGGTACTGCAGGAGCCTGGCTGGAGTGGTATACTGGAACCTGGAATGAAAAACCTTTTCTCCTCTAGTGTATCTCCAGTTCCCTGCACTGACAAAGCTCAGCCTCATGCTAGGTGGCCACAGACCAGTATTTAAAGGGCCCAGCTCCATTTGCAGAGCCCCCTAATGCATAGATTTGGAGATTGGAGGTAGTAAATTGATAGCCAGCTCAAGAACCTCTGACATACCCACCCTATGCCAATTTGGGATATATTCTGTTTTGCTGGGTTTAAAGAGAGTACCAGATACTCATCTCAAAAATAAAATTTTCAAGTACATATCCTTGTGATACTTTTAGAGAACTTTGTTTTAAATTATTACATTATTACAAAAAGCAATGGTCATTCATGTATCATATGATCTCACTGATAGGAGGAATTCTTAATCTCAGGAAACAAATTGAGGGTTGCTGGAGTGGTGGGGCGTGGGAGGGATGGGTTGGCTGGGTGATGGACATTGGGGAGGGTATGTGCTATGGTGAGTGCTGTGAATTGTGTAAGACTGATGAATCACAGACCTGTATTTCTGAAACAAATAATACATTATATGTTTAAAAAAAAAAAGATAGTAGGAAGGGAAAAAAGGGGGGGATCATGAGAGACTATGGACTCTGAGAAACAAACAGGGTTCTGGAGGGGAGGAGTTGGGGGGCTGGGTTAGCCTGGTGATGAGTATTAAAGAGGGCACATATTGAATGGAGCACTGGGTGTTACACGCAAACAATGAATCATGGAACACTACATAAAAAACTAATGATGTAATGTATAGTGATTAACATAACATAATAAAAAAAAGCAATGGTCATTAAAAAACATTGAACAGCATAGAAATGTTTAAAATGTAATAATTTCCATTTTATTCCTCAGTCCTTTAATATCTGTATCATTTATGTCTGCTAAAGAAAAGATTATCATTAACAATTGGTGTATATATTTTTTTCCTAAGTACATATGTAAGAATATATGTGGGCGGCATATATATACATATGTGTATTTTTTTCTTAGTGATAGGGATTTCATAAATACTCTTTTAGGTTTTTGTTCGGATATAATCCTTACTTATTTGCCAAGCACTTGTGTAAGCTAGGTAAGTCACATAACCATTCTATTTGAGTTTTTAAACTTTTGAAATGAAGGGACTTTTCTTTGAAGGGAAATTTAAGATCTGCAGTGGATATGGTTTGATAGTAGTAGTAAGGGAGGGAGAAGCAGTTTGGTAACCAGTAATCAGTTTTTAGTATAGGCTAGATGTTCATATTTTTCCATGTGTTTTGCAATTTAAATGCTCCTTATTGTGTTAAAAATTTACAGATGTTTATATGTATTGCTGGTTTATACATACTATTTAAATTTCAGGGATGCCTGGGTGGCTCAGTTGGTTAAGCATCTGCCTTCGGCTCAAGTCATGATCCCAGGGTTCTGGGATCAAGTCTTGCATCCGGCTCCTTGCTCAGCAGGGAGCCTGCTTCTCACTCTGCCTGCAGCTCTCCCTGCTTGTGTGCCCTCTCTCTCTCTCTCTGACAAATAAATAAAATCTTAAAAAAAATAAATTTCAATGAAATTTGAATTACAGAATTTTTTTTGTTTTTTCTTTAGAAAAATCCAGCAAAAATGTCTCTGTACCCATCTCTTGAAGACCTGAAGGTAGACAAAGTTATTCAGGTATGTTCAAGTTGTTTATGTACTTTTCTTTAATATATACAGTGTCATAGATTCTACTTATAGGTGAAGTGAAACAAAGAACTTAAATAGCAGATGTATTCATTTTTACACTTAAACATTTTTCAGTTTATTGATTGCAGACTAAAAAGTTACAGAAAAGCTACCAATTCTTTTTCATTTCACTGTGAGATAGTGGACATAGGATATTATTTCTCTAAAACTGTACTTAAACTCTTTCAAGATAGCTTGATTTTAAGACTAAAATTTAAATTAAATACCATATACTTAAGTTGGTAAGATGCACTTCGACTCTCTAGATGGTGATAGTTTTGTTTAAAATCAGTACGTTCTTTGGATCTTCAGATAGGACTGATCTTTAGAAATAATTCTTTGCCTTTACTTTGAAGTTAAAAATTACAGAAATGGTGAATGCTATTTAAAGTAGTGTAAGAGCACAATGAAAGAGAAGTCATTTATTTCCTTTTAGATATAAGTGGCAGAGATTTCATGTACTGATCCTCTAAATGTCTAAATGTTAGATATTATAGTATTTCTAATTTCATGAAGTCAAAAACTTTTTGTAGTCTTTCAAGTAAGTATTAGCTTTGAAGATAGATGCTTCTGCTTAAGAAAGTTTGGGAATAGGGGTTAAGTCTTGCTGTTTTGTAAGTTTTTATTCTGTTTGGCTGGGGATAATTTGTAGTACTTCAAAGCTTCTTACCCTGAGAATCCTTTTACTTGGGGTCTTGACTCCAGTTTACTCTAATATTTGCTTCTTAATAATTATTTAATGGGCAGAAAAATTTATTACAAACTTGTGATAAGTCTTAAGCAACATCTAGTATAAAAGTGTCTTTTAGGCAAAATGTTGGCCTTTCTAGGGTGAAAACCCCTAACAGTAATAGTGGCATTTTTATGGCTGGAATTGTTACCTGTAGCAGTGATTGGGTAAATATGGTGGGAGATCATGAACACATATTTTCCATCATAAATCCACTGAGGATATTAAAATGTGGTTTGTAAAATCTCTGGAATCTGTTCAGCTGCTAAATAGAGGCTTTGATGATTCAGTGTTAAGAGGTTTGTTTAGTTACCTTAAAGGCTCTATTTCTTTGTTCGGTATTTTGTCAGTATTTTTCTCATGGGGTTTTTATTTCTGCAAAGTTCATCTGACCAAGCATACTTTGTTTTTAAAAAGCGTTTATCTGAAATACGTAGCCTTCAATAATAACAGGCCATTAATATGACATCAGAGCAGTAAATGATAAGGATTTGCAGGTGGATGTGAAAGAATGACTAATCTCTTTTCATTCTTTTTTGTTAGTTTTTATAGAATTGAATTGTTAAGCATCTGCCTTCGGCTCAGGTCATGATCTCAGGGTCCTGGGATTGAGCCCCATATCAGGCTCCCTGTTGAGCAAGGAGTCTGCTTCTCACTCTCCCTCTGCCCCTCCCCCCACTCGTGCTCGCTCGCTCTCTCTCTCTCTCCCCCCCTCAAGTAAATAAAATCTTAAAAAAAAAAAGCATTGAACTCTAACCGTGGTTGACTTTGAGCAGAAGTTTTTGGTTTTGAAACAGAAAAAGGAAAGTTGATATTGACAGATGTTTGATTGGAAAATGGGTCTACAACCACATCACACTGACCTCTTTAAGGAGAAGCAAATTATATGGGTATTTCCATTAGACGACCTTTTATGTTCTGAGCAGGAAGTTAGCTGCCTAGACATGTAACCATGAGTAAGGAGGGGGAAGCATGAGTTTTTATTCTTTCTGTATTTGAAAATATTCCTGCCTTAGCCACTATAGTCTTGGGCTAGTTTTTCTTGTTGTTGTTTCCTTTTCTCTGATAGAGAGAGGTACTTAGGTTTATTTTTGTTCTTGAGATGTCCCTGCATAGGTAGCGTTTATTTTCTAATCTTCTGACCTTGTTACACCACAGTAAAACTAAATTGCAGCAGTGAACTGGCAGTTGATATTTTGTAAACTATTTTACAAAAGCCATTAGGCTGTTGCTTTTAGCATCATAAAATCCCTGAATCTCTGTCCATTATGAATCCTTAACAGGAGTCTGTTGTTACACCTATATAAAGTAAGCTTTTAAGAAATAGTGATGTAACAGAGACCCAGTGCTTACCACTCCTAAAACAGTGAGCATGGCTCCACACTCATGCTGTAGCGGTAAGTGTGGTGCTCCTTGGGGGACCTCATTCCCCCCCCTTTTTTTTTAATAGTTTGAGATTTCACATAAGTCTGAAATAATTTGCCTCATTTAATGACATACAGTCTTTAAGCCCTTGATGTACCATCTTTCTTCTGTTTTATTTTTACTACAGATTACATAATAAATATATAACTATTAGATCTCTATATATAATGTATTCCTTGGATAAGAATAAAAGCAATGAGTAAAAGAACAGAAAATAATAACCAATGTAAAAAGGAACAATTTTATTTTATTATTATTTTTTATTTTAGAGAGGTGAGTGATCAGGGGAGAGGGAGAGAGAATCTTAAGCAGACTACACACTGAGCGCAGAGCCCAACTCGGGGCTCCATCTCATGACCCTGAGGTCATGCACAACCTGAGATGAAACCAAGTCAGGCACTTAACCGACTGCGTCACCCAGGTGTCCCAGTACATTCTATTTTTTAAAACAGTTTTAGATTCACAGCAAAATTGAATGGAAGGTACAAATTCCATCTTAATTGCCCCTCCCCCAACACATACACGTAGCACATCCTCCCCCACTATTAATATTCTCACCCGAGTGGTACATTTGTTACATTTGATGAACATACTGTGACTTGTTATTACCACTCAAAGTCCATAGTTTACATTAGGGTTCACACTTGGTGTTGTTTTGACAAATGTGTAATGACATATAGGCACCATTGTAGTATTGTATAGAATCTATAATCATATAGAAGTCTATATTATAGAACACTGCCCTAAAAATTTTTGTCTATTCTTCCCTCCTTCCCCACTCATCTCTGGCAACTGCTGATCTTTTTACTGTCTCTGTAGTTTGCCTTTTCCAAAATGTCATACAGTTAGAATCCTACTGTATCCAGGCTTTTCAGATTGGTTTCTTTCACTTAATAATAATACGCATTGAAGTTTCCTCCATGTCTTTTCGTGGCTTGGAAGTTCATTTCCTTTGAGTGAACAGTGTTGTTGTTTTTTTTTTTCCTTAGAGATTATCCAAGAAGTAATCCACTGGCTCCTAGCTCCTTTTAGCTGATAGCTGGTGAAAGAACTTTGAAAATTCAATATACTTTGAGTTTGTGGACTGTTATTTAAAATTATACAGATTTTCGTTGCATTTTATTTCAATTTAGAATGTGACAAATTGTAAAACAATAAATACTAAAGTACAAGCATATCAGAACATTTACAATCCAAATGAGTGAAGTAGGCTCCACTGCTTTTAGAGGCTATACTTATTTAAATTAAGCATCCATCACTCCAAGCATCTTTGGGACTACTGTTGTCATTCATTTCAGGGCTAGGTTAAGGTATAGGTATAAACTTTATTATGTAATCCACATATTTCCAGTTAAGTAAAAAGTGATATTAGAGATTGGCCATACAACCAATCTTGTCTCTAAATGATACATGGCTATTTTAGAAAGTCAGATCTATCTGTATAGGAAAAAGGATTTCATCTTGGAATACTTAATGTGTCATGGGCTATGAAGGCAGCCTGAGAAGAGTTCCTGGCATACTTGAGCATGAGTAACATTTTGATAAAGAGATACATTGCAAAACGATTTTGACAAGTTTGTTTAAAAGTTACAAATTACATTATTTTAATCATTCTTTTATGGCAGTGATATTTTGTAATTTTTTTTGTAATTAATATAGTGTTATCACCTTCTTATAGTTGCTAAAATGAATATTATTTCAGTAGGATATGCCAGAATGGCAAAATATTAGCAACTTAGTATTTAAATTCTTAGGGTTTTTTTGATATGTGACTTGTATGAATATGGTTGAGCTTTTTCCTTATGCAAATAAAATATCATTAGGCTAGTTAGTAAAAAAAAAAAAAAAGAATGAAAATGTAAAATGTGTAGCCATGCATTTTATAATGCATTTTGAAAATACTAATTTATTAATTTGCAACAGCACTATGAAATATTGGCCATGTGGTAGTCAAATTTTATATCCATAGTGTTAAAATATTTAGAATATGAAATGTATTTTAGATTTGGAGATTTTCTTTGAAAAACATGTTGAAGTGTTTAAAATTAAACTATTTAAATTTTTTAAAAAAGATTTTATTTCTTTTAGGGAAAGAACGAGTGCAAGCAGTGGGGGGAAGAAGCAGAGGAAGAGGGAGAAAGAGAACCTCAAGCAGACTCTGCCCTGAGCCTGGAGCAGATGCAGGGCTTGATCTCAGACCCTGAGATATGACCTGAGCTGAAATCAGGAGTCAGATGCTCAACCAACTGAGCCACCCAGGCGCCCCAAAATTAAACTTTATTGAATAAGATTTTAGTGTTTCAGTTCCTTTTTGGAAGTACTAAATTTAACTTGTAAATTATATAAGAATTTTAAGTAAGGGTATATATAGCATTGTTAGAATTTTCTTCTTTTCTTTTTCAGGCTCAAACTGCCTTTTCTGCAAACCCTGCCAACCCAGCAATTTTGTCTGAAGCTTCTGCTCCCATCTCTCAAGATGGAAGTAGGTTTATACTTTGGGTTCATTCTTCTTGAACTGAAATATGTTTAAGTCTTCTTTTACTGAAATAGGGAATCCAAGATTTTTTTAATCTGCAGCATAAAATATGTGGTTAAAGTTCTAGTCATAGTAAGAAAAAATGTTTACTTCAAAAAAAACCCTTTAATCAAGAAAGTGAACTATGAATATGAAGATAGGTTTTATAACTTAATCAGAATTAAGTGAATTAAGTTAAATCTCAACCCTCATAAATCCCTAACTTATGACTGATTGATTCATGAAGAAAATGTGTATGTGAACTGTGTCGCATGCCACTGCTCTTGAACTTCTGAACTGTCCTCCATCTTTGTGGGGTGAGGGTGGGGTTTGAAATTTCCAACCACCTCCTTTTGGGGGAACTTCCCAAATTCTGAAATCTTTATTAGGTCTCCATATACTTCTCTTTGATTCCTTTTCCTTCTAAGTTTATAGGGATTTAGGACAGTGCCCCTAAATAATATGACTTAAGATAAAAAGGGTATTAAGTAGGTTTTTGTAACCAGACATAACTATTGGTAACATTCTTTTAGAAAATTCATTTGAAGTCACAAATCATATAAAAGAGAACATTTGGAAATAGTACCTAACTCTGCTACTAAGTTAAGTACTGTTAATATTTAAATATATTGTTTCTACGATTTCATTGGAAGGTGGTTTAACTTTTTTTTTAAATGGTAAGATACTAAATACACTTTTATAAGCTTTGATTTTTTTTTTATTGTAGTTCAGAAGAATCATTTCATAGCATTGTTTATTAAATGAGTTGTAAAGTAGCTGGCTTGACAATAAACATTTTAGTCAGTTCTGAGGTGGAGAATCAATGGTATGCTTATGAAATTCCTAATCAAATAGGTTTATTTTAAGAAAAAAGAAAGACAAGATAATTTATTTGGAAAAATTATTTCTAGACTGTTTAAACTTTTTCTATATTTCCCATTTCTAATTATCACTATAGAGATGAGATGATTTTCCAAATTGCTAATTTAGATTCATTCTAGATTTTATAAAATACACCTAATTTTTTTTAACACAAGTAGAAGCCCATAATAACAACAGTTTTCATTTTAAATATTCTAATTTTTTTTATTCATTCATTCATGTTAGATCTCTATCCTAAATTGTATCCGGAGCTCTCCCAGTACATGGGCCTGAGTTTAAATGAAGAAGAAATCCGCGCAAATATGGTCTTGGTCCCTGGAGCATCAGTTCAGGGGGTACGTATACTGTACTTAATTTTGAATTGTATAAAATCATATTTTAGACATAGACAAAAGCTCTCCTCTTCATGGCCAACTCACAGATTTATAACTTTAGCGTTGATCTCTGTTCTCTAATTTTAGACTGCCTTCTGGATATCACTTCTTAAATGATCTACTTTCTTTTAGCCTTTTACTGCTTGTCTAATTTATTAGGAGTTAAAGATCCAGATGCCTTTGACTAGTTCATTCTCCTTAGTCTTCTGTATTTGTCATTACTAAGACCTAGTGATTCTGTCCTCCCCATGTTTCTTGTATTCACTTTATCCATTCCAGTCCTACTATAACCCTTTTCAGGGTTTCTGTACTTCTAACCTAGATTATCACAGTCATCTCTTAAATTTTCTCTAGTAACTTCTTGTATCAAACAGTACTAAACTGCTGCTAGGTTAATCTTTCTGAAGTACAGGTCTCTTATTTCTTTTGGTCATAATCTTTTAACATTCGGAAGTCTAAAGCTTCCTATAAAAGACCCCAAATTCTAGGCTTTCAAATATAATGTATCTCGTAGCCTCTTATTAAGGTCCTTGCTGTAAGGCTATAGCACTTTATAGTACTTATAATTACGGTTAAATTACGAAGGACAGGGTCGATAGCTATCTTGTTGCCATAACCCCAGTGCTTAATACAGTACCTGGCATTTATTTATCAAATATTTATTGAAAACAGGGCCCATTTGGTTAGGCTGGTATGTCAACAGAAATAAGGAATTAGGCAGAAAGTTGAAGAATTGAAAAACACAGGCATGGAACAGATGTAATTGCAGAAGGTTGCTGCTCCTTCTAGGACTGGAGTGACACAGGAAGAGTTGGAGTTTTCAGAACCTAGTAGCTTGGGGGAAGGGCCCCTTGGAACTGGGCCTCAACACACCTTGGAGGAGCAGACACTGCTGTCAGTACTAACACATCTGAGAGGTTGCAAGCAAGGCTGGTTCTGGGAGGATGGCAGTAAAAGCTGGAGAAGGGAATCAACTGCTTCCACCAGGGTTAAGGGGCGAGGCCCAGGCAGAGTTGATAGCTGGAAACAAAGAGGAAGGAATAAGGCATTTGTCCTCCTCCAGCCTTCCAGCCTCCTGTGGTGGATGCTAACCAGAAATCTGCTGACAGTGGAATATGTAATTTGCACAGTTCAAGCTCCATCATCGCCACGTATAGTCTAGGTGGGTTTGGAGCTGACAAACAGTAGCTTAATACCCATTAATGCCTACTCCTTTGACAACTCTTGTATATCCACACAGTTTTTAACTTCGAATGACAGCAATAACTGCATAGTTTCCCTTTAAAAGATGCGGTTCTTGGTAAAATTGAGGTTCAGCCCACTTTCTGTTAAGGGGGACTCTATGGTAATAAGCATTTTAAGATTTGCTGGCCACACATGGTTTCTGTCGCGTATTATTCTTGTTTTTTTTGGTTTGCTAACCTTTTAGAAATATAAAAGTAATTTTTAGTCCAGGGGTGTACAAAACCAAGCAAATTACCTCTGATATAATGAGGTACTCCTACCCTTACCCCAAGATGGGGCAGTGCCAGTTATCATAGCCATCTCTGGGCAGCGGCCTGTGGTATCAGTTACTGTGCAATATTAATTACCCCTTAGTATTCACATTCTCAGCTGAATATTTTTTTTTAAAGATTTTATTTATTTGAGAGAGAGAGAATGAGAGAGAGCACGAGAGGGAAGAGGGTCAGAGGGAGAAGCCGACTCCCTGCTGAGCAGGGAGCCCGATGTGGGACTCGATCCCGGGACTCCAGGATCATGACCTGAGCCAAAGGCAGTCGCTTAACCAACTGAGCCACCCAGGCGCCCTCAGCTGAATATTTTTGATGTAAAGACAAAAGTATAAAGTTCATTGCTATAAAAAATTCATGTTGGGGCGCCTGGGTGGCTCAGTCGTTAAGCGTCTGCCTTTGGCTCAGGTCAAAATCCCAGGGTCTTGGGATGGAGCTCTGCATCAGGCTTGCTGCTCTGTGGGAAGCCTGCTTCTCCCTCCCCCACTCCCCCTGTTTGTGTTCCCTCTCTCACTGTGTCTCTGTCAGATAAATAAAATCTTAAAAAAAAAAAAATCATGCATTTAAGGTATGGAGGAACAAAAGGATTGTTATATTTACAGAAAATTTACAGGTAAAGAAGGTAGTCATGGCTACTGCGATTCTTATTTTAGTGACTGATCATGAAGCTGTAGTTAGTATTATGACTCCCTTTGTCTACTACACATTCTATACCCCGTTTGCCCTTGAGTTGGTCTTTTCTTAATACCTACTGGGGTAACCTAAACCATTTTGAAGTGTCAGAATCTCCTTCTTAAGAATCTTGCTTTTTCTTTCATTTTTATTTTGTTGCTGGAGATTTTTATTAACTATTTCCATCTAGTGAATTTTCATTTTGCATACCGTATTTTTCTTCGCTAGATGTTCCATCTGGCTTTAAGTCCTTGAGCATACTGAGCAAATTTATAGTAGCTATTTTAAAATCCCAGTTTGCTAATATTCTGATCTATTATTTCTGAATTTCTATTAACTGATTTTTCTCCTGATTATAGATTACATTCTCTTGCTTGTTCACATCCCACCTATTTTTTTTTTTAAATCAGAACAGGACATTGTGAATTTTACATTTTTAGGTGCTGGATTATGTCTGTCTTCTTTAAAAAGTGTCAGCCCTTATTCTGGCAGGCAATTAAGTTACATATGCATCAGCTTGGTCTTTCCAAGGCTTGATTTTACACGTTGTTAGGGTAGGTCTGAAGCAGCCTTTATTGTAGGGTTATCGTAGCCCCATTACTCAAGATGTATGTCCCCTCGGGTTCTCTGCTGAAGGCTCTGGGTGAGCACACCACTTTTGCTGGTAGGACCTTGGATGTCTCCCAACCCTGTGTGATCTGCAGGAAGGCTCAGCTTACAGCTTACTGCATGTACTTTGCCTGGCCTCTGGAGCTTTACCTCACAGATACTGAGATTAGTATTTAGCAAACGGTTCAAGGAGACCTGTATATAGATTTCTGGAGCTTTTTCTCTGTGTAGCTCCGTCCTCTTTGGGACTCAGCCCTGAAAATTCGTGCTGTTTTACTAGCTGCTTCAGCCTTCCTGATTTTTGTCTCCTTAACTTACAAGAGCACAGTGCTTTGCTTGGGATTTGTACTTCTGCGTAGTAGATAGTAGTCTGGGTAGAAAGCCAGGTGATGAAGGGGCTCACCTCACATGTTTCCTTTCTGTCAGGAATTGCCACCCTACATTGCCTAATGCCCAGTGTTCAAAAATTGTTGCCTCCTATTTTTCCTAATTTTTAGTTATTTATGGCAGGAGGGTAAGCCTGGCTCCATTTGACTACAAGCAGAAGTCTGTTTTTTGTTTTTTTTTTATTAATTTTACTATTGGACATGGAGGACATAAAAGGCACCTCAGAGGACCTCTTGGATTCCAAACATAGTCTAGACGCCATTATCTAGCAGCAACCCAATTTCTTCTCGGTAACTAGGATTAATCACACTGGCCACTTCTGTAATCTCTTCTTGCTTTTGTTTCAGCGGCATATGAAGTCCGAAACTGCAGTCAGGTGGTGATCTGATTCAGGGGAACATTGTTGTGTTCCCCAGTGGAGGCATTCCTCCCTCCTAAATAAGACCTTCACACTGTTGAGCTCAAGATGTGGGGACAGGATGCAAAAGTTCTGTGTGTGTTTAGATATAACAGTGAGAGGAACCATTCCCATGGCCACACCTTGGTTTCCAGACCTTTTATTTGGGCCTTGGAAGAAACCGCATCATGTATTTGGTTGCTCATTCAAAGCATATATTGTATCCTTTAAGGTAGAACCCCTTTCAGTGTGTTGTCTCCCACTGGCACCTTAAATGAGTAGAGATGAGAATCAGTAGCTTAAGAACCCACACATTCCAGGCACTGTGCCAGCTGCAGTAGATACAATAGTGAACCACAGCAATGCCCCCTTCCCCATGACACAGACTAGTGAAGCTCACATTGTAGACAAATAAACCAGTGCTTATGACATGAGCCAAATGGAAGAAGAGTAAGTGAATAAAGTGCTAGGGCTGTATTTTGATAGAGTGAGCATATATATTCTGAGGGGTTGACATATGAGTAGAGAACTAAGTGAAATGAGGGTAAGGCATGTGAATACCCGGTGGGAGAACATTCCGTACAGTATAGACAGAACTTGAAGGCTTTCAGGCAGAAATGAACTTAGTGGACTTGAGAGACAAGACTTGTGTGATGAGCAGAGGAAGCAAGGCAGGACAGGGCAGCAGATGGCTTTGGATGGAGGGGTGGTGGGGACCAGGTGCTCTGTGGCCTTGTAAACCATGGTGTAAGGGCTTGGGATCAGTTATGGGAGTGGTCTAATAGGATTTCTTTTCCCTTTTTTTTTTTTTTTTTTTAAGGTTTCTGTGCTTGCTCTGTAGAGAATCAGGAAGATGATCTAGAAGGTTATTATAGTAGCCCTCGCCAGAAATGGTTGCTTACTTACAATGGGGGAAGGGGACAGTGGTCAGTGTGGTGTTGGTCATAATAAGTAAGAACACCTAGTAAGTCAGGTACTTAAAAATACTGCTG